TAGTTCATCGCCGTCTTGCACCAGCCCTCAACATCGTCGTGCTCTAGGTCATTGGGCGACATGGTACTGCTTCGCAGAACTTCTCGGCGATGCACCGACTTCTTCCTTTTTCTGCCGACTTGATCCTTTCCATCGGGGCTCAGCACACTGGAACAAAAGGCGAAGTAAGACCCTTCGGCGACTCGCCAAGTGGACTTAGCGATCCTCAGGCCTTCATTTCTTCGTTCTTTTCAGCCCTTTCATTCCTTTTTGCGATGTAGTGTCCATGCTTTCCTTAAAACTTCAAATACATGAAACTTAAGGGTTTTAATCAGATATTGAGATAAAATAAGCATTTGAGGACACAATTTCTATTAAAATTTAGCCCTAAGTGTGTTCAATTTGTGGAATCATCAAGGCCGCCGGGGAGGGATGACCCACCATCGCAGGGTCAATATAGAGGGAATTTTCCCTCCATGGCGGGACAGGGCGAGATAGAATGTTTGCCATGTCACCCTTATTTTCCCCCTATTCCACCAATTGACTCTGAATCGAATATTGACTCATTATCCCATCCCAATTAGTGCTCAGTAGTAGAATAGTGAGTAATAAACATTTAACATTTATTTACGCCTACAAAATTAAAAATCTAGCATCCATGTGCTTACAAAACATAGGAAAACAAGGAGTAACTAGTGTAATTGTCTATTGCATGCCCAAATGGGCAAACCCAAATCAAGGAAAAAATTTCTACTTAGAGGGAGTGGGAGTGTTTTCATTCGAATCGAGGTCCTCTTGGACCTTCTCACCAGTCAATGCCTCGCTCAACCAGGAAAACTCCTTGAAGTCCTCTGGTTCAAGTATGGAAACTCCCGCTTGATGGCGACGCAAAAAAATATAACCTTGATAGCTTTCCACATCCTACCCATCAGACAGTCCCTCTTGATGCTCTTCTTTCTCTCCCATCGCAACTGGCGGCAGAGCATCTCGACCTCAAAGGCGGTGAAGGGTGGAACTGGAGCTGAGGTGCTAGCATAGGTACCTCTCAATCTTCTCCAGATGGCAGCCAGGTCTTCCTTCACGCGATCACCTGATAGTGGGGACTGAGACTAGGTAAGAGGGGCGTCATCGACCTCTTCATCTTCCTGCCCCTCATCATCCGCCTCTGTCGTTGCTCTGCTACTCTCGACCCCACTCACCTCTCTCTTCTTCTTTCCTTTAGAAAAGGGCCACTTGATTAGGAGAAGATGGAAATGGGGGTCCATGGGTAATACCTCATCAGTGTACATGAGTGGCACCTCCACCAGCTTGCACATCGCCGTCATCAACCCCAGTAGGAAGAATGCCTTTTTGTTGCCTCAGTAAACATCTTCCACTCAGACACTATCTATGCCCCAACGTTCAACCTAATCCCCTGGAGTGCAGAAGCCACCAACAGAGCCCGAGTATAAGTCACGTCAGTGCGATTTCCCGACTGGAGGATCCTCCTAGCCACCAAATTCAGTCACCTCTTAGCATCGACGAACTAGTAAGTGCTGGTGATGCCTCTGTAGTAGCCCAGTAGACCCGATCATGATGCTCATCCTCAATCAGCGTATCCCATAACCAAACCAGATCCATCTCCCTCGGTCTGGTCTCGTACTCAGTCTTCGAGCAATGCATTGATGAACTTAGTGCTTAGGGACATTCACTCATCTGATGCGGATGACAAGGTGAGGGTCATCCAAGCGGAGAATGGGGAGGAGGGCATATAAATCCCTCACCCAGCCTGAGAACGCGGCAGGGGATGTCTCCGCAAGTGGTCCCCAACCAAACTCCATTAGCCGGGCATGGAAGGTGGGTTCGTTTTCCGCCAATCCTAGCAAGTGGAAACTCCTTTTGTACAAAAGATTGGTGTTCCAGTAGTCATGATGCCTCTCCCAACTTTCAACATCAGGAAATCGGACAAAAAAGGAAAGTTATCTTTGTTGAATTCAGCCATTGCTGATCAAACCTCCAATTTCATAATGTGTATATTAGGACTCAACATATATAGGTAACCCCGGGGAAAAGGAAAGGGAAAATTCTTCTAGCTATAGTGGCTGGGAGGCCACTGGTTTGCGGCTTACCACCATGGCGGCCAAGATCCCACCATGGTGAAACTACCACAGTGGGAGCAAGGCCGCCATGGCAGCCTCCATCTGGGTCGAAACTTTAGTGGTGCGTTCATGGCACCTCTTCGCCCAAAAAACTCCATTTTAACTAAATT